ATTCTAGGATACAATGACATGAGCGTGTTACCGTTCAGATTTGAGGATATAGCTGATAGAGGGAAGTCAGCAAATGAACTCTGCGACGATTTTCCAACCTAGGGCGTCAACCTGAGAAGGGTTGTAGGCGTACTGTTGTAAGTCCTACAATTCTTCAAAGGGTAGCGCATCAATGAGCAGTCCAATGTGCTTGGTGTGTGATTTTTACATAAGTTCATATTGTATATACTGAATTGATATCATCTGTCATCTAGCTGTTGGTAATTCTGTTTGTGTCCGGACGACTTCCACTTGGATCATCAACCTGAGAAGGAATGTAGGCGTACTGCTGTAAGTCCTACAGTTCTTCAAGGGTAGATTGTCATGCCGGAATCCACAACATTTGATGTGTTGATTGTACATATGTTTGTGTTAAATAGTTGTGTGAGTCCCAATTATTGTAATTGTTGGTTAATCTTGTTTGTGTCCGGACATTCCATAACTTACAATCGTCAAACTGTGAAGGTTTGTAGGCGTACTGGTGTTAGCCCTGCGATTCTTCAAAGGAATTCCATCAAGACATGAACTGCGAGTTTGTGTGTACTGTTTGTATATACGTGTGGTGTGTCATATCAATCGGTGTATTTTGGATTCATTGTGTTTACTTGTTGTTTTCGTACCTTGTTGTTATGACATAATTTTGTTAAAATTTTCGTCGTGATTACTTCTGAAGTTGTGTCCACTCTTCTACATCCGTGAATGAATTGATTGATGTTAAGGACAGCAGATGGGTCGTATACGCCGGGGAGGCTAGGCTATTGCTGAGAATGAAATGCACACGGAGATAATTGTTAGCTGTGGTCCCACACGCCGGGGAGAAAGAGTGTAAACGACTGAGGCTCGCATACGTCATTGTTACTAGAATTGAGGCAGAATGAGTGACAAGCGGTTTCAGTGGTAATTGGTAGTGAGTAGATAAGACGATGTGCGTAGAGTATCGTGAGGTACTGCCATAGTCACGTTGTATTCTGCAAGAGTCATTCTAGCAAGTGGCGATTGTGTTGCAAGAGGACGCCTTTAACTGGAAGGCGCAGGTCGTCATTGATGTGTAAGATTGTGCTGTGAGTATGCTTATGGTGTGTTGGCTTTTCTGTTTGTTTTCCACTTCAGCTCTGTCCGTGTGACCCAGGTTCTCGCAATGGCATCCAAGTCAACGTGTATTGGTCGTGATGGAAAAAAGGGGTTGGATCCCCTTTTTGCCGGGGAGTGTCAATGTAGTTGAAGATTGAACGATCAATTCATGGTTGTTTGCTCAATACCAACTTCCCCAATTTTCGTGGAGGCATCAATACGACAGTCATCGTCTCATCGGTCGCTGTTGAGAAAGAAAAGTAAAACACCGTGAGAAATAATATCGTGATTTATTATTTTAATATTTGTTCACAGACCTTAGTCATACGTCATTTATATGTTCGTGTAACAATAAAGAATCCTCGAGTCAACAATTGTTGTTTTGGTTTTTGCGTCCTATATTACTACGCGTTTCTGAGAAACTTCAAGCGACAGCGTGAGTCTGAGCGTAGCAAGAGCTGGGCATTAACGGTTTAGGAGCCGTGGCTGACACTATCTTTTACTAGTTTCATGGTATCATGAAATTTTGGCTGGAAACCCTCATCTCCCTTGCGGGAGCTTATCTTCACCCTCTTACTTTGCGGTCGAATAAATAGGCGTCTTGCTAATACTTCTAGGATAAATCTGGTGTTGAATTCACTCATGCAATTCATCGAAGCCAATGCATTCTTGTAAATCAACAGATTATCCATAAACTCATTAAGTGCCTTGGAGTCATCTTGTAGTTGACTACCATTACACTTAACAACCTCGAATAATTTCGCTAGAATCATCGAAGTTCTTCCAAACCTTTGACGCAGTATTCTCATAGCTTCGCCGTATCCCTCATTAGGCGGCATGAGCTTAGAGCACTGTATAGCTCCTAAAGCACCTCCAGTGCAATACCTCATCAAATACATCAATTTCAATTCATCACTTAATAAAAAACTACTCAGCATAATCTCAAACTCCTTTACAAATTGTAAATAATCAGCCGGGTTTCCATCGAAACACGGCGGTTCAAGTTTAGGGAGTTTGATGTTCCTATTATCCCTGAACGGCGAAACAGTAACATCAACCATGTCATGCTTAACATCAGACACATCGTCACAAGTAACAGACAAGTCACCATGACTTACTTTCCTGTTTGCATCCAAGACACTCTGTCCCTTCTTTGACCCAGGCATTGTTGAACTTGACCCAATTCCAAAAATGTTCCAGATATTGCTTGTTCAAAGAGGACTTGACCGGCACCAGGAAAGATGAACGGTGACTATCCAAACTGTCACCGACTGTCTGAATCCGCCAGAATCTGTTTCCACCATCAGAAACTGTCACCACGTCTCGTTAGCCGTTAATGCCCAGCTCTTGCTACGCTCAGACTCACGCTGTCGCTTGAAGTTTCTCAGAAACGCGTAGTAATATCGGACGCAAAATCCAAAACACCGATTGGCAGCTTGAGAATTCTTTATTGTAAGACCAACTGATAAAAATTTTGCCACCAAGGTTTCTGTCGGTTTTTTACCTCTTATTTCTGATCAGCGACCGATGAGACGATGACTGTCGTATTGATGCCTCCGTGAAAATTGGGGAATTTGATTTTGAGCAAACAACCATGAATTGATCGTTCAATCTTCAACTACATTGACACAAACGCAATTACAATGCAAACATTCAACTCTGGGGCTACCTGACTTTCAAATAGGAATATATGATTGCTGTACCTAGTAGCTGTCTGTTTACGAAAATCTTGGAATCAAAGGAAACGTAAAGCTCAGTTGTAAATTAACCTTAAAATCGCCCAGCTTACATAAAACTGAAAACGATGCGTAAATCGCAACTTTAGTGCTCGACAGTAACGACGAAAGTATTTTACACTATCTATTAAAAATACAGTACCATCAAGCTTGATGATTTTTGCGATGTGAGGTCCTGAATAACGAACAAATGCAAAGATGTGGTAAGCATTATAGCATTATTTAAATAACTTCTCAAGTATCCGAAATTATTTTAACCTTTTGTGGATTATCATTTTACGAAAAGCATACTGCGCTTTGTTGATAGTTACTGAGGCTATGAAAAGTGTCCTCTCAGTCGAGCATATGACGAATAAAACTGTCTGAGAAAAAAGTGCGTGTGTGGGCACGCATGTGTGAATACTAAAGCTGTTATTAATCCATTTAATCAGTAGTGGGATGACGATGATGAAATAAGTGCCGAAATGTCACCCGGTAAAAGTCATTAAATATTTATGAAGAACATCCTATTATCATGAGCTAACAGCGTTAGCACTTAGACAGGTGAATGTGCTTATGAAATTCATGCAAGCATAGACGATCAAAGAAATCCATCAACGCATTTGGAGCTCGACCATTTCACCCTCAGCGATCGGTTTGGTTGCTCGTGCTGATTTGGTCACATTGCGAACAAATGAATTCTCAGGGGGCAGAGTTCAGTCGCTGAGTTGCACTGTTACTGTGTTTCCCATATTCTCTTTGCGCCATTGTTAATAAATACATCCGGGAACAGCCGTGCTACGTTTTCCCTTCGCTAATTGAAGGGGTATTGACAGCATTCTTGCCGCCATGTTAGATGTAATGAGCCAGAGATTCAACCAGTTTTCGAGCCGAGGCGTGGATATGGCGAGTAGGATGATCACACAACGGTCATGAGGGCTATTATGGTTGAAACCATTCGGAAGTTGAGACTGAATTCGTCCGTTACCAGATTCCTACAGCCATTCACCAATCTTGAATGTTATTTTTAATTTGGATCAACAATATAACCCGTTCATGAACTTTTATGCGATCTAGTCAACATGCGTTTTCACAGCGTCACAAGTGTCGGATAATTGTAGGTAGTGTGGAATATTCAGTCGGACCATTGTCAGATCTTAAGACTGTGAAAGCCTAAGTAGGAGGAATCAAAATGTCCGCCAGTTCCAGAATTGCTTAGCTACGCAAAGCTGTGCTCCAGTGAATAACCTTTTGCATCCATGACTATTACATAAAATCCTGACCCATATTTTGTCATAACTATCAATTCGGTTACAAGGGTACACTCTGTAGGGGAAAGCCGAAGACATAAGCCGTTTAAAACATCATGAGTAGAGAATCTGGAGGCAGTCCAACCATACCTCTTAATGATTTACGAAATGTCCTTACGACCATACCTATAGATTAAACACCCCACTTTCTTATGACGGACACTAAGCCCTTGGCTGTGGTACACGGATGAGGAAAATAAGAGGCTCACAGGTCTATGTAGTGAAAGGTTCACAAAAGACTTAAAAGATAACTATTCAGCAACGCACGTTGTGTGTCCAACCCACTTTCAACTGAACCAAAATAGGCTGAAAGGTTCACGTAGTACGATGTTAATACTGGCATTCAAATCGATCAATGTTCTGAATCACCTACTCCGACCTCACCAAGATTTTCGCTGTTACACTACTGTATTTTTGTTTATATAATTTATCCATCCTTCATCTTTATCAAAAAACATTTAACTTGAAATTATGAAAAGAACACAAAGAACTCAATTCGGTTACCGGATATAAAATTTTTAGTGCTATCACTAACTAATACTGTTACACCACACCGAAAAGAGTCAGCAACAGGAGTATATTTGTTGATGCATAGCCACAGTGGTGACACAAACTGCAAATCAGCGTAAACTGTTAACCAATCTGCAACCATTCTTGTGGACTAAGAAATTATATCAATTGACGAGCTTGACGGACCAGCTGAAAAACGAAAAAGGTCAGGAAATTTTTCAACAGAACTGAAAGTCTGGTCCAGCAGAGTCAGTTTCATTTACATCAACTTGTGTAAAGAATTATTGTTTTGTCACTGCTTTTGTTTGTCTGCTTTAAAAGACATATTTCAGACTTGTTGTGGCCTTGGCAATCATTTGAAGAGTAAAGTTTTTTTCCAGTAAGTAGACTTTAATTAATGGAATAGCTTCTGTATTTAGGCTTCACCACTTGAATAATACAGTTGTCTGTTTAACTTTTCATTTAGTGTTATACGCATCACTATAATGTCATAGCTACTAATAATAGTGTAGACGTAGTTGGAACTTATCAGTTAACTCGTCAAAAATGTTACGATTTTCCGTTAGCTACTTCATATTCACGGCAGCAAATCAGTCCACATTCGAATTTCTGTAGAGACGAGCGAAGTTACTATGGTTATTTGTTCCTTTAATGCCGAAAAGCTCACTGGTCGAGATCATCTTAAGTTACGGCCTTTTTATAATCTACTCATTTACAGAATACTCATGGGGAATGTATGGAGTAGATGAGCAGTTCAGGCCGTGTGAGATGAAGTTAATATATGTTAAATGCAGTACCTGTCTTTTCTATTTTTTTTGCTTCCCTTACTTTGTTAACTACGTTTCCCTTTCCTACCCATGTTTTCAACAAATTGTCTAACCACTTCTTGTGATACAGAGGTCTGTATTTTACGAAATCGTTACTCACTTTTCCGAATTTTACATTCTATCGCGTTCACGTCGTTTGAAAAATACCCTAGTCTTACTTTTTGAACGGAACACTACAAACCATTTCATTACCTTCCAATATCCAGTATCGTTTTTACGAGCTAGTATAAACCAATTTGATTTCCTATTCGATTTACAAAAATTTTTCCGCTGGATACTTGTACACTAAGCTGAAATCTGGAAATGAAAAAATATAGTTTATTCCGTCAATCAATAGTTGCTTAAAATTTCTTAGATTACTTAATCCTAGTTTAATTTCATCTTTGTTATACTGATGCATATACTCTCTGTTTTGATCTTACTTCTCTCTTTGATTCATTTTATTTGCAGATAAACGCCGCCAATGGATAGATATGATTCAGTGGAATCACCAACTGAGAGTACAAGATCATTCATCGCTCTTGTCGTCTTATCCCAGGTATGCTATCAATTAAACAATGAAAAGTTGAATATAATTTTATTCAGGTTTTCGGATTATTAGCGGTTGTTTTAACTGGTGTTTGGCTAGGAAAATATTGGGGTGGATTCAGTTGGACTAATGCCAGCACAGTCTTCAATTACCATCCTCTTTTTATGGTTTTGGGTCTGGTATTTCTGTATGGGGATGGTAAGTTTGATATTAAATTCAATCTAAAAATCCAAATAAGACTTTTTTGTTGTTGTAATATCAGTATAAAGTTGTTATCCAAAAATATATCCAGTAATGAACCATTTAAAATCATTATTGTCTAGTAAATACACTCGACGTAATCTTTCGTCCATCCCCACAGTGGAAATGCATGTGTGCCCAAACTAACGTGTCAGTAATCTCACTATTTGTTCTAAGGGGAAAGTTCTGCATTTTTTCTTCTCACTGATAAGTAATGGTTACACAATCTGTGTTTTGTCAGATGGAATTCGGTAAAGAGTCGGGTTGTAAAAAGAAGAAAAACGTCGATAGTATTTAAAAAGTGTGTTTACGATGCTAGAGGTATATGGACCTATACCTTTCAGTTGCTGACTTGGTGGAAAGTTAGTTCCTGAGAAGCTTGCAAATGTATTTCGATTGTCCCTATAGAATTGGTTGTTTAGCTGTAGACGAAAGTCCTGAAGTCGTTTTGGAAATAAGTAGTTCTAGTTTGCACAAGTAGTTACAATTCTTTGGAAACGTTTCTTCTCAAAACTGTTTCTAAGGCGATAAGGATCTGTCATTTTTACAACCGACCTTTGTCATCATCTTCCGTTATTTAAATTATTTGATACCTTAACTTTCCTTGGTTATTACCCATAGTGGACGACAACGTGAATTTTCACGACTCCTCTACCAACATTTCTTTGATAGTAAAATAAATGTCGCCGTCAGTTTAGTTCCTCTAAGACGGAATATTAGGTGTTAGGTGGAGGTGATTATCAGAAATCCCCGACTCTTAGTTATTTGCTTTTTGGTACTTATCAGCATATCTTTTTTCATATTTGGGCTACTGACTTAATTCAAAAGTGCCTCACTGAGTTACTAATTCTCTGTCTGGATTCAACATAGAACTTGACACCGAAGTGCAGCAGTTCGAGTTGCCACGTTCCAATTGGCACACAAGGTAGACAAGAAGATGAGTGAAGAGAATCAATACAGTCTGACAAGTATAAGAGTGAAACAGAATGGGTTATGGTAGAAAGGAATATGAAAGATTACAGAGACTGAATACATCTGCGCTGGTCATTGACAACGATTTTGAGCCATGTCACCTATTGTCTCCAGCCATTGATTCCTAGAGTCCCGAGGGCCCCAACCCGGGAGTCTGCATCTCCCTACCTGACCGACTCAGTTTAACTGTCAAGGATTTCATGGATTGATGAGGCCATGTTTTTGTTTGGCCACCACTGGCTCTTTTCCAACCTGAACCTATATCAGCTAGCAAAGCCCGTCGGGGGAGGCGGTGGTTAGGCATGCGCAGCACGTAACCTAGCCATCTTAGTCTATGTAACTTTATAGCCTCGTCGATTGATTTTCCCTCTTTGCTACTAATTCATGGACTACCGTGGACCATGGGAAAGATGGTTTATACTTGGGAATCAGTCTCTGACTGACTGGTTTCAACATAGAATTTTAGCACCGATGAGCAACAGTTCGAGTCGTCACACTCTATATAGTACACAAAGCGAGGAAAGAAAGTTTAAAAGAAATGCAAAATAGAGACAGCAAACATATATATATATATATAAGGCAAAAAGAATAGTAATATCATAGAACAATATAATTTTATTGAGTATTACAAGTCACAATGAGTGGATGCATCTGTACCATTGAGAACACTTTTGAGCCATAGCACCAATAGTCTCCAACCGTTGGTGTTTACCGTCCCGAGGACCCCAACAAGGAAGTCTACACATTCCTGGGTGGCTTAAACTAACTGTTGTGGGTTTTATTGACTGATGCCATGTTTTGGTTTGACCACCAGTGGCTCTTTTCTAACCCTCTGAATGCAAATAGTGCAGCTATGAAGTTATAAATTTGTTGATGAGAATTTTTCAACCCAGGGTGCAGTGTAATCAAATAAGGTAGGTAACGGGATGTTGAGGCGCTACAGTCAGATGAAGTCAGTCACCTATAAGTTGAGAATATTCAAGACCACCTAAAACAAGAAGGAAGCAACCGTAATCGTGCAGTAGTTATGGAACGTACTACTAGTCTTTTTATTGCGTGAATCACTACAGTCTGTTGATCAAACGGAATTAGGACTAAAGCCAGACACGTGTTTTAGAAATTAGATATATTGATAGTGTACAAGAACTCTTATCGCCAATCACAACTTACACATTTCGAGATGAGTGGCTACGGTTTTCTTTGTAAGTCCAAAGTGTTTAAATTATAATATGTGGTCTTTTTGGGACTATAAGTGGCATCGGAAAGTAAGCAACGTTGTAAAATAGTTTATGTTTGAGAACTAATTTGTTACAGGCCGTGACCGACCGAAAGCTGCTACCTTGACGTGGTGGTCGGGCTTGAACACCGCAATGACCTAATCAAGCTATACTGGCTGAGACTTATGTCTCTTGAGGTTCTACCATGCCAGGCAGGTTGTTTGGATAGCGGTTAAACAAAAAGCAGCTACCCAATCCAACATCATGTCCAATACAAAATTACAAAATTTCATGCCGGATCGGCCGTGGCCCGGATTAACAACGACCGCGCTTCCTGCTGCCGTGTCACAGGGCGGGAGTGATAAATCTGCTACTGAGACACACCAAACAAAAAAGAACGAACAAAAACAGGCCGCGTGTGACCGGCCTCAAGCAGTTGTCCCCTGGGCTCTGCGGTCACGCAACCAACTTCCACGGTGTGGGCAGCCGGGAAGTAACAATCGCCCTCACAATCCGAAATGCACACGAAACCTCTCTATTACTCACTCATCTTTGTCTTCATCTTCATCTCTATCATCTTGCCTTCCTTCCACTGATGCAACTCCTCGACTTGATAGCTCTCCACTTCCTCTCCACTCTGCGTCCACTAAAAACGATGGAAGCCAAAAAACCACCACCGACAGCCTCTTAAAGCCGCGCCACCAATTTCATATAGGAGCTCTTAATGTTAGGACACTTTGCCAAATAGGACAACAAGCATCACTAGCCAAGACCCTGGCATCACGAGCCATTGATGTATGCTGTGTTTCAGAAACACGCATACAAGACCCAAGTGTGGTTATTCACCTAACCCCACCTGGCCAACAGGTTGAATCTGCAAAATTCACCTTGAGGGTGTCAGGAGATGCCACAGCTAGTTCACGAGGATTAGCTGGCGTAGGGATAGCTTTGAGTACTAGGGCAGAAAAGACATTGCTTGACTGGATCCCGGTAGATAGCCGAATGTGTGCTGTCCGCCTGAACGGATCAGTAAGAAGGAGGAAGGACTGCACTACTCGCCGATGCCTTTTCGTAATCTCCGCCTACGCCCCCACTGACTGCAGTTCAGATGAAACGAAGGATGAGTTCTACCAAAAGCTGTCTAGTTTGGTGGAAAGGCTAAACGCTCAGACATAGTCGTTCTAGCTGGTGACTTTAACGCTCAAGTAGGGAAATTGTGTCAATCTGAGAAGGATGTCGGTGGCACCTATGGAGCTCCGTGCCAGCGAACCGACAACGGTGACCGTCTCCTACAGTTCTGCTCTGATAATCATTTGTTTCTTGTAAGCACTAACTTTAAACACAAGGAGAGACACTGTTTGACTTGGAGACCCCCTTCATCAAACCAACGCTGGACACAAATAGACCACATAGCAATAAGCTATCGTTGGCGTGGGTCGGTAGGAGATTGTCGCTCCTTCTGGAACACGTGCGTAGATACCGACCATGCACTGGTCCGCGCTCGGGTGTGCTTACGACTGAACGGACGTAGGAAACAGCTGGCGGTAAAACCATCACGTCCCCAGCTCGATCAGGAAACTAAATCCGTATTTCAGGAAGAACTAGCTAAACACATATCTGTGTTCGACAGCTGTGCTCACCCTGAAGAAGCTTGGAAAAATATCCAGGCAGCCATAGATACAGCTGTAAAAGCTGTGAATAAGGTAAACCCAAAGGTGAGTAAAAACCACTGGATCTCCACCGCCTCATCCGAACTGATAGATGCTAGAAGACTTATTCCGGCGAGCTCCGAATTCAATGAGGAGCGAAAGCTGCACAAGAGGAAACTTACGAAAAGTCTCCGCAAGGACCGTGAACAGTGGTGGGCGACAAAAGCCAAAGAGATGGAGAAAGCTTCGAGGATAGGCAACACCAGGCAACTCTTTGGACTCATCAGGGAAACGGGTGGGAGAAGACAAATCATTAGTGAGACAATCTCGGAAAAAAATGGCACTATAATTAGCTCACAGGATAGACGACTGGATCGTTGGAAAGAGCATTATGAGGAGCAGTTTAATTTGCCCACAGCCACGCTCAACCTTCCGAGCATCCAACACCTCCCTGAATGGGATATAGATACAGGTCCTCCGTCACTAACTGAGGTTACTAAAGCTGTCACCAATCTGAAACTAGGCAAAGCAGCGGGACCTGATGGAATGACTCCAGAGGTATTTAAGTACGGTGGAGACAGCTTACTGTCCGGATTAACTGAGGTACTAGGCAGCGTCTGGGAATCAGAAGAAGTCCCATCGGGTTGGTGTAAGTCACTGATTATCCCCATATACAAGAAGGGAGACAAGTCTTCCTGTGATAATCACAGAGGGATTAGCTTGACTAATATAGTATCTAAAGTCTTAGGCTCAATAATCATGCGTAGACTGAGTGGTGCTCGGGAAGCACAAACACGAGAGAGCCAGGCAGGCTTTAGACCAGGAAGAGGGTGTATTGATCATATCTTCACCCTCCGACAGATTCTAGAACATAGGCATTCCTACCGGCGTCCAACAGTCATTATATTTCTTGACCTAAAGGCAGCATTCGACTCTGTCGATCGGGAAGTTCTCTGGAGATGCTTGGCTGTAAAGGGAATTCCAAGAAAATATATTGCACTGATTAAGGCACTCTATTCGTACTCATACAGCCAGGTGAGGGCTTACGGCGAGCTGTCATCTGAACTGATGACGACCAGTGGTGTCCGTCAAGGATGCCCATTATCTCCTTTTCTATTCAACTTCATCATAGATGTGTTAATGGACTTAACCCTAGGTGACTTCAGCGACTCAGGGATTGACTTGCTACCGGGGAATAATCTCGTTGACTTGGAATATGCAGACGATATAGTCCTTCTAGGCGAAGACGCTGACGAAATGCAGAGTCTTCTAAACACCTTGAGCAGCAATCTACGAATGTTTGGCATGCGATTCGCTCCCGCCAAATGCAAGATGATGTTACAGGACTGGACTACATCGACGCCTAGTTTAAAAATAGGAAGTGAAGTGGTAGAGCACGTTGACCGCTTCACTTATTTGGGAAGTACCATCAGCCCCAACGGGCTGATCTCTGACGAAATCTCAGCACGAATACAAGGGGCTCGTTTCGCATTTGTTAGTTTACGCCGACTCTGGCGTAGACGAGATGTTCGACTATCGACCAAAGGGCGGGTGTACTGCTCATCAGTCCGCTCCGTCCTCCTTTATGGTTGTGAGACCTGGCCACTGAGAGTGGAAGACATGAAAAGACTAGCTGTCTTTGATCATAGGTGCCTGCGTTCTATTTCCCGTGTAAAGTGGCATAATAAGGTGAGCAACATGGAGGTTAGGCGTAGAGTTCTAGGTAAACAGGGGAAATCAATCGACGAAGTCGTGAAGCTACAAAGACTGAGATGGTTAGGACATGTGTTACGTATGCCAAGCCATCGCCTCCCTCGACGAGCAATGTTAGCGGATATAGGGTCAGGCTGGAAAAAAGCTAGCGGCGGTCAAACAAAAACTTGGCATCAGTCAATGAAATCCACAACAGTTGGTCTAAGCCACGTAGGAAGGTGTAGACTTCCAGGCTGGGGTCCTCGGGACGGTAAAAATCTATGGTTGGAAACAATTGGTGACATGGCTCAAAATCGTTCTCAGTGGCGCAGATGCATCCACTCCCTGTGACTTATGATCTTCAATGAAACTGTTTTGTATTTCTTTATTACTCCTTTGTCTCACACCTCTGCTCACTGTTTCTATTATGCTTTTCTTGTACTTTCTTCTCTTGCTTCGCGTGCTACACGGAATGTGGCGACTTGAACTTCCGCACATTTGTGCAAAGTTCTATGTCGAAAACAGACAGACAGACAGACAGGCCGTGACAGGTTCTAAGCGTCGTGAAAATGGTTCATTGTTTTAGGCATAGTGAGTTTTGGTTTCAAATGAGCGAAGTAGTCGTTCAGTGTCTGCTTTTATGAGTCTAGGCATATGTCTGTCAGTTTCACTAGTCAGGATATATATGTGCTTGCTAGTGATACGTTTATTTAGTGTCTTGCTCATTGTCTGATAAAAACTCTGTTAGCCTCTTGGGTATGTCCCGGCTACCTTGCCGTGGTGGTCGGGCTTGAATACGTCAGTGACTCATGTCCCTGCAGGTCCTACTATGTCAGGAAGGCTGTTTGGATAGCGGTTAGACTAAAGGCAGTTACCATGGGGTACATAGGCTCCAGAATCCAATCGGATAAAATGGCGTATAAACCTATATGGGTCACCGGCAACCATGGGAATGCAGCTCCTGACGCTGCTCCGCTGCCTTGAGGATTAGACTCCAAGTAAAAGGCTCGGGGGGTGGTCCCGTAATAAAACCAACTGCTTCGGTCTGGGCGCCTGGGCAGTATCTCAGCCCTCACACAACTTGTATGGCGCATCTTTCTTGGTGCCATATTGTACCAAGTTTTTTCTACGTTTAAATAAAATATAAAATAATCCTGGGTATGTGGTAATTAGTTACTCTTAACTGTTAAAGTGTCATTACGTATTGTGAGGTTGGTGAATACCAACAACTTTAGTGTTTTTAAACCATTAGTGCACAATCATTTTTCATTCTGTGATTGTTTTCTTGTTTGTTTTTCTTATTGCCAGCAATTTTAGTCTATCGTGTTTTTCGAGCATATCGTAAATTGCCAATCAAGATCGTGCATGCTCTCTTACACATGCTTGCATTTCTTTTCGGTGTTTTGGGTATCAAGGCAGTATTTGATTTTCATAATGCGTTAACTATACCAAATATGTACAGTCTTCATAGTTGGTTAGGGATAACAGCGATTGTGGTGTTTGGATTACAGGTAGGCTGAGACAGAAGTTTACATGTTATGTTAACCACTTATGGTGAATTGCTATTATCATTATTTTTATTATTACCTGTATATTTTAATAAGTAGCATATACAACACCGTATGAAATCATTTGAAGTCTATGTAGTACAGTCAAGTTAAACTAAAAAAGTGTTACATAGCATTTCATGGTTTCATTACTGATGGTGATAAGTTTCTAGTAACAGGTTCAAACCGGTTGGCTTTGTGACTTATGTACATCAAGTTTGATCATGAAGTGAGTTCGGCTAGGTAAATCATTGAAAACTAGGGAATACTGGGAAGTCATTTCGTTCTAGCTTGTTACTGTTCAACAGGATGCACACTTGACCCCACCAAAGATCGAACTCAAGGCCTCCAAGTTACAAGGCCGGTCCGTTAACTATTCGGCCACTGAGACGGAATCTAATGACCCATGAATTCTAACTCTTGCCGATTTGCGATATATAGTGCAACTGAAATGATTAAATGACAAACGACTCGATGTTACATCATTTCAAGTACGGTCCAATTCGCTTAGTACCTTCACTCTTCCTGAACATATTTCATAATTTTAATATTTTGTGACACCTTCCTGTCTTCCAGGTGGTGACTACAGCAACTATTGTTTTTTCTTTACGAATTGTACATTTAATTTGAAGTTCACTTCATTTGCTTTTTTTGACGAATAATTCTTATGTATTGTACCTAATATATTTTTTCCCAAAATTTTCCAAAGTGGGTTGGTGGCTTAATAGGTTTTTTGGTACCTCAAACGCCTCAAAGTGCTCGTAGTAAACTTTTACCTATCCATGTGACAATTGGTAGCTTCTTATATCTGCTAGTGATTGCTGTATGCATATCTGGGATTACAGAGAAAAATTTCTTTTCAAAAGCGTAAGTTGTTTTGCTCTTCGTCTATTATTAGACTACTTTTGGGATTGTTTAGTCTTTTTAGTATTATGAAATATTTACCCCGTTGAGTTGAACTTATCCACTTATGCAATTGATAATATTGATCTCAAACTAGTGAGGCAGGTGTTTGCTATCCATGGTGCACAATTGATCAGTGTGAATAATTTCTAATATGCAAATTGTTAATTGAATTTAAGTCATTATCACTTCTCTCAGGTAGCTAGCTGGGAATCGGGTGATTTTAACTGATTCCACTGTCTGTACTGCGTCAGATCTGGCACACTGCTGATGAGTGCGGTCCAAAACTAGCAAAACAACTGTCCAGTATTCAGATCAATTCAATCTAGCTAGCGAGCGCTACTGGTTAATGCGAGTGGTGTGCAACGACTCATCTCAATCAATCAGTAGTGCATAGCGTCATGCATTTAGTTTCCAACTTCTTGTGTGATCCGTTCTGTCTGTCTGTTTTCGACATAGAACTTTGCGCCGATGTGCGGCAGTTCAAGTCGCCACACTCTATGTAGTGTACAAAGCAAGAGAAGAAGGTAGAAGAAATGCTTAATAGAGACAGTAAACAGAGGTGTGAGACAAAGAAATAGTAATAACGAAGAACTATGTAGTTTCATTGGAAATCATAGTTCACAAGGAGTGGATGCATCTGCGCTGTCATTGAGAACGATTTTGAGACATATCACCAATTGTTTCTAACCATTGGCTTTTATCGTCCGGACGACCCCAACCACGAAATCTACACCTTCCTACGTGGCTGGCTTAAACTAACTGTTGTAGATTTCATTGACTGGTGCCAAGTTTGGGTTTGACCACCTCTAGCTCTTTTCCAGCCGGACTCTATATCAGCTAACATTGTCCATTGTCAAGGGAGGCGATGACTAGGCATACATAACACATGTCCTAACCATCTCAGTCGATGTAACTTCACAACCTCGTCGATTGATTTCCCCTCCTTACCTAGAACTCGACGCCTAACCTCAATATTGCTCACCTTATTATACCACTTCACACGGGAGAGAGAGCGCAGGCACCTATGATCAAAGACAGCTAATCTTTTCATGTCTTCCACTCTCAATGGCCAGGTCTCACAGCCATAAATGAGGAAGGAGCGGACTGTTGAGCGGTACACATGCCCTTTGGTCGATAGCCGGATATCACTGTGTGATCCATTTATGTATTAGCTTACAACACTCATCCCCATGATTTTGAATTGAGCAAATCATGTACTACGGTACAATGAAATTTATTCTAAGACTGTAAGCACTATGAATAGTCAACTTTAATAAAAAAGCATTTGTTGTTAAAAATTAAGAGTCATTTTTATAGGTAACTGTACACCTAAATATTATATTCTACAAAAGTTAATAATTTCTGAGATCGTTCTTACTGATATTTAGTGGGGCGAGAAATATTGCTATAAGAGATTCAGCGGATAAAACGCTTTACAGTGATTCCACTCTTTACATGAATGAAATTTATGACTTCCTCCATATATCGTACTGAATTCCTGTTGTTAGTCAAAACTTCTAATGTGTCTATCTAATAATATCTTCCAAACAGTCAGCGTTTCCAGATTCTTGGGATACAGTGTGTGAGACAAAAATAGGTCTTATTATTGTCGTCTTTCAGTTAACATAACATAGGAAATCAGAAATAGATCAGATATTTTATTTTTTTGGTGTATACGTGAATAAAAAAAATGATGGGATACGGAGATCTATTTGTAGGATACATTTGTAGATGTGTAAGTTGGACGCGTTTAAGTGTTTGGTTGTCTATAACCCTAAAATAACCCCTCTACGTAATTTTGTTGCTTACAATACTGTTGGGCACATACAAAGAGCGTATACATATCAGAGAAACCATGTACGAATAGGTATACAACACGACTTATAGAGAAAAAACATAGAATCAGTACTCATCGTTGTCTTCATCATGTTTTGTCTTTCTTGATCATATTTTATCTTGAAAATTATCACATCGTTAATGTTTTCCAAGCAAAAAGGCACTCACATTGACAGTTTAGACCGTAGAGAGAAACGGATTGTGAGTTCTTGGTTTTTCAGACTGTGTTTTAGAAATCGGAGCATGTAAAATTAACTATCCATTTGTTGTGACATCAAGTAAACTGTGAACAATACCGGGAACTTCTTAAAAGAGATAGGTGCAACAGTTAATATAAGGAATAGAAAAGTAGACAAGAAATATGAAACTTTATAATTTATGAGAACAGCGAAGTAGCCAAAGTAGAAATAACAATAAATATCTTGAAGGACGTACTGAATATCATCAGCATATTGATGGTTAAATTGAAGGAATTGAGGGAAAGTAGCCAGAGTATTCAGAGGAATAAGTAAACCGACAAAATCATGAAATATAGATTAAGGAGATAATTGAAGAGGGTGACAGTCTTATTGGTGAAGAAACCTAATGAAAAGTGCAGATTTTGCGTCCATTTCCAAGAGCTGAACAGGGTATCAGAAGTGAGATCATGTATCATGTCTGCTGTTGCAGAAATTCTGTATCACTTACAAAATGCTAATCTGTCTACACTTCTGAACCTACTATCGGGATATTGGCAAACATCAATAAACCAATGCAACAGAGATACAATAGCGCCTATTGTATGGCAGAAGCAATAGCCGTTTGAACATATACCATTCAAATTGGCAAGTACACCCTTTACGTTCAAACGATTATTGATGTTTTTTAAGAACTTGAACAGAATGAAAGTGTACGTTGCTGGCCTAGTCATTTATAGTCAGACAAAAAAGTACTATGTAGGACACGTAGAACCTCATTGAAGAATTCAGAGTACACAGGTAGCTAAAACGAATGTTATTTTATTAGGACACAAAGTGGGAAATGGTGAGATAAAATCTTTGTTTAGGAAAAATTCGATAATAAAGACCATTGCAGCCCCCAATTTGAAGACGAAACTGCTATATTTCTTGAGGAGAACAGTGTTTTATAGTAGATCTGTAAAGAAACTGCAGTAAGATACTAGCTCCATTGTAAAGACTACTATGTGATTCAAAATTTGTTTTGGATAGAAGACTGTTCGAAGATACATGACTGCAGTAAACTATCAGCAAATGAAGTTAGAATTACATGTACCTAGAAACCAGTTCACAAATATAACACAACCAGATGTCGTGTTGCACGTCGTTACACTTCATTGAACATTTTTTTCGTGAATATAGCGTTATTTACTTGATTGCGCTCCCCCGCTCTGACTATGCCTTCAATATCATTGGTGAAATTCTAGAGTTCAACCTCCCCTTTTTGTCTTATGCGCTGTGTTTCCTCTACCTACTGATTATTTCAAAAAAAAATCTTTTTCATTTATGATTCAGGTATCCGTCACTTAGGACTGCTGAGGTAATTGGCAATATACTTGGTATCACATTGGTGATATTCGGTGGTCTTGTCTTCTATTTAGTTCAACATCCAAATTATCGTCGTATAGATGTAATATCACCGGAACGTCGCGCCCTCCATGAATGAATAATAACTTGTCAAGTACACATATATGTGATTATGAACAAGAAAGAGAGTTTAATACTTATTGTTGCGTAACTCTTTATATAATATTCCATTCAAATTGGTCAGTTAATATTCCATAAATATGTTTCTATTTTGTATGGAAGGCAAAATTAATTTAATAATTTCTTACGATTTGACATACTTCATGCTACATTGCATCATCTTCTTTCTTCTTAACTACTCTATCCTCATCGATATAACATCGCATCATTTCGATTCTGTTGTCGTGATGATGACATTGTGATCGTTTTGCAGTGGTATATATTTACATCCGTTTGTTATCCGCTTACCGTCATTTGTGATGTATTTTCAAAGATGCCCTGATTTACATACGCTTATTAATAATTTGTCTATTTACTTATTACTTCTTCATTGTTTTATCCTTATTATTTTCGTTGTATTTTCGATTTTTCATCATGAATCCGAGTTATTTGGTGTATGTCTACATGTGTGTATGTTTGTCCGAGTTTTACGTCACTTGTAATTCTTTCCTATTCACCTTTATTCTCTCTACCTACATCTGTTACTTTTCATATGAGAAGTTTTAATTTTTGTGCCAGTTGTCAGTTGCTGTGTTTGTTGTAATCATGAGTGATAAATTATTTGTGTAATACATATGTGTAATACACATGCGAGCATTCAAAAGTTTAATTGCTTGTTTATATGTTTGGCTTGCGGTTCGTTCCTGTCAAATGTAAGATAATGCTGTGGCATTGATCTGCACTGACTTAGAGTTTAAGGATTGAGAATGAAGTGGTGGGTTTGTATTTTCATTCATGAATTAATTGATGATAAAATCTTAGTACATTTACCAAAGACTCGTGTAGTATTTGCCAACTTACGTCATCTCTGGTGTAGAAGTGATATCTGGCTGTCGATCGAAATACGTGTGTCTTGCGCAGCAGTTCGTTCCATCCTTCATTATGACTGTTGAGACACGGCTGTTAAAGTTGGCGGAAATGAAGAAACTAACTGTCTTTGTTTATAGGTATTTGCGTTCTACCTGTCATGTTGGGTGGTTTAGTATGGTGAGTAATAGTGAGGTTGTTCGTAGATAGCTAGGTAAGGAGGTTAAGTCAATCCATGAAGTTGCGAAACTTGATCGATCGAGATGGTTAGGACACGTTTTACGCACTCAGAGCCATCGTCTTCCTCGATTTTGACTGTTGGTTTGAGCCATGTATAGAAGTTTAGACTGTCTAGCCGAGGCTCTCGAAGCGCTAAGAACTAATGACTTGAGACTGTTGGTAAAATGGTTCAAAATCGTTCTCAGTAGCACAGATCCGCTCACTCTTTGCGATCTAGCAGACGCATTAATTTCTCATTATTCTCCACATAATTATTCTTCCTCTCGTTCCTTTTGGTTTCTTTTCACTTTCTGTCTCTACCCCAATATGTGTGCGTCTTATGAATTGTGGCAACGTGAACTGTTGTAGTGTAATGTGTAGTTCTACGCTGAATTCAGTCAGTCTGCCGTCATCTGAGGTAAAAATAGTTTTCACTGTCATGATGAGACGTTTTGTATCCTCCCTGGTTCTTATGCATCGGTCAGCCCGATCAATAACTATAATTGACTGCAAATGAATTAGTCGTTTGGGCGCGTCTTGTTTATCTCATATTTGATAGATGTTAAAATATACCGAAAATATTTTGAAGTTTTAACCAGAGAGAAATTCAGAAAATCTTCAATCTTCATATTACACAGTCATTTAGCATTGACCAGAGACCTTCGGCAACAGATTATTTATTATTTCTATATGATTTCACCTGCTTTGAACAGAATGTAAGCAAAGTTACACATCAGTGTTGTATTGTTTCGATAGAGAGGAGAGGCAATGTTACTCAGTGTTTCCTATGTATGCTATGAACTAAGAATCTGGCCTTAAAGTAGAGCAAAGGTCTTGTCGTTGTATTTTGTTGGCAATTTATTTATGATATAAAATAACAGCTCTATTTTCTGATCATTTTTCTTTCTCCTGGGAGGTTAAATCATGCCTTCTCTGTTTGCCTTCTGCCTTTCAAGTGGTCGGTCAAATACTGTTGTATAAATTCTTCCTAGTTCGCAACCAGTTAATTAGAAGAAACCCAAACAAGGTATTATTAAGCGGTTTTCTTTTCTTTTTTTTATTTAAAACACCCAAGTTTTCCAGTTAAAGATATCGAGTGTAGAATGTGTTGAAACATTGCTATCGATAAATGTTATCCAAAGTGGAATTATTTGTGGTGCGATCATCGCGCTGAATAGCAAAAAGAAGGGCATCAGTTGATAGGCTAAAGTCCTTGAGAAGCTAAGAACAATGACAGATTGCTTAAAATCCGTTAAAATGGACCAGATCTTCACTAGTTATTCTCCCATTCCTTTGTAATGGCCGTGGTATAAACGCTGATTTTTTAAACTAAGATATGATGTAAGCCAGAAGATCAATTAGTTCTGGATCTTCTGTGGAGTCATCCTAGTATACTAGTAAAGTACATAACTCAAACAAAAGGTAACCAGTGATCCTGGATACTTAGTAGCTCACTAGATAATTTTGTCAAAATCTACATTGAAGACAACCATGCTTTTACGAAACTGATTGTTTAATTTATCTTTGTACACCGTTTCATGTTAAAATTAAGGAACATACTGGTAGAATGGGACAGAACAGTGATAAGAAAGCCCAAAGCAGATTTCTATAGGAACTGACACCAGTCAGAGAGTCACTGAAACAGGAAGTGGTGAGCAATTGTTTGGTTTGTAACACTTGAAAACTAATCTATTGTTCATTAACACCTCATCATACAACAGAATTCCTGGAGTCCAAATGGAATATCGTATGAAGACATACTTAGCAACTGCACTTGATGACAGTTTTGTCTTACGGCAAATCGGCCAAAGTTTGATTCTACAACTGAATGGATTCTAGCCCAATGGCTGAATGATAACTTACTCATCTTATGGTCTCTGGGTCTTGGTATCTATCCTCAGTAAGGTCATGAGTTTTGAAGTGTTTTGTACACGCGACCATCGATTAGGTCAGAAGTCTATCAGTCAGAATTTATATTGTAGAGATAATGGGTGTCTGTTAGTCAAATAAACGCCTGATCATACTTCACCACTTTTAAGAGATGTTTAGTACTCGGATTAAGCTGTTGTACAGCTAGTTCAGACGTTACTTTTCGAATATTTTTACGTAATTCTCTCCCTGTATTGGGATACATGTTCCAGTATTCCTGTGTTAGTTTTCACACCTACTATATTATTTATTTTATTTTTTATTATTGCCTTACGTTCCGAGTGGAACATAGGGCTTCAACAACACATCTCCGCTTGTTCCTTTGTAAGTTACCGATTATCCCTTAATGTTAGCCGCTATTCATGTGAATATTTAGCGACTCTGAAGTGTCTAGTACTCCATAGCATTCACAGATTCTCTAGCTGATTATAGTTTCTTAGGTAATCTATCTTGAGTTATTATTTCCGTTCACTATTTTCCTTGGTTCTCAGGTTATTTTATCATGAAACTGTATTTATTATTTTTATTTATTTTTGGTTACAGCTTGATTCCACACTGTATTTTCGGTACAAGTATGGAATTTTCAGCATGGATATCAGTAGCCCAAATTTCCCAGGCCAACCATAGATATCAGGTGTGTCTACAGATCACTGTTATGGATGATCAGATAAGTAACAAACAGGAATTTTCATATTAAATATTGTATACTAGTCTCCGTTCTCTTTTCCACTAAACATAATCTGATTAGCATAATATTCCTCAATTTGTCTATTGTAAAAATGATAGAAAAGTAGGTGGACATATAATATAACCTTGAGCTTATGACCTAGAGTAGAAGTATTTTTGTATGTAGCCAATCAAATAACTGTTAGTTTCATGAAGAGATCACTTGATTTGTTACAACAAAAAAATAATAACAAAATATCCAGCTTACGTTTTAGCTGGGAATTAGAGAAAATTTGGATTCTTGTTATCCATTTTTTCTCCGCTATTCATTCTTCATTTCTTTCATGAGTGATGTATTCCACTCCAATGTATTTTAGATAGATATATCTATAGGTGCTTACACGACAAATAATCGTCATTTGAAGAAATAGTGTAGTAAGGCAATTTACTATCACGTGAAGCATCAGTCATAAGATTTATTCTGTTCATTTTTTAATATAATTTAATAAAGTGAACATTTCGAAATGTTAAATTTTAAGTTTTGTACGGATTCTGATTGAATTATACAGACGAATTAGTCAGTTAGTGTAGATGTTGTCACGAATGGACATCAGTTAGGGAAACATTGAAAATTAAGGAGTACTTGAAAGTTGTTTCATCGTAAGACGTTAATTTTCCACCCGGTGACTCATATGTTGATGTGTTCTCCTTGTAACTTGAAAATCTTGGGTTCGATCGCTGGTGAGGCCATGGTTTGGAGCTGCTGAAGAGTTTCAAACTAATAGGGAACAGCTGTCTAATGCTCTTTGGTTTTCGATGATTTTCTGACTGAGGTTGGTTGCTGACGAAATCCACATTAACATTTGTAAGCGTAAGATCATAATGAACTGGAATACTTAATTCAATGTCGAGTTGTCTAACAGTGAAGTAGAGTTATAAAAACATTTGAATGGTTTTCTTCACAAAACATTAAAATAAATGGATTACTGCCACTTTCTTAGATCCCCTTCCATTCAGTGAAAATCGCTATTAATTTCATAGTTTATCTTAGATTCTCTTGTTGACATCGTATGGTTTTTGTGTTCATTGAAGCACCAATCGCCGTCAAAGAAGAAATTTGAAGGAAGCCAACTCTGTTACTCATCGGAGCAGCATCGCTCAAACTACAGGCGGCAAGGATAAGGATGTCAAGACCAATCATGATCAGAAGATCAAGATAGACCTTTTTTACTCTAATATCAATGTGGAAATATGCTGCACTCAGCATAAGGAACAAGAACCGAATTTTTAAGATTAATA